ACAATTAAGTCAGGAAACAGTACTAGATATTGACAAATTATTAGTGGCATTTAGTATAATTAGGGCTTCTTCTAAGCATCCTGTCCTGCCTTGCCCTATCCTGTCCAAGATAGCCTTCTTAAACCGAAAGAGCTTGCAACAATCCAGCCACCCTACCTTATTCAGACCTCCTGTCTGCATCCAAACAACTGATTTGCAGTCTATTTAAATATGGACATTTGGGACAACAGCTGTAAATTGCTTAATTGACATTGACTCTTTTGTTGGTTTTAGCAGCCATTTGTTTTCAAACAGGCATTTTGAGAGCTATTCGTTTATTTATTCTGCAGAGATGAAAGTCTGGAGATAAGCAAAGACAAGGGTGTTTACAGTGAGGACAATATCAGGAAGACCTTGCAGACAACACAACAGCCTGAGCCTGTGTTCAACAATGAAGGGACGCAGGGCAGAAAACATCCTGCAGAAAGCACAGCTCCACAACACAGTCCACACCCATTTGCTCTACTCAGGTGACCCTGAGGACACAGGTAAATCACCAAATGGCTTCAAGGACTCTCTAAAAGAATGCAAATAACCAACTGTCTGCAAGGAATATAAACCCTTCCATCCTCCACCATCCAGTCACAGCTGAAGAAGCTTCTTGGATGAGAAGTGAAATGTCTTCAAAGAAAAACAAGGAAGTCCAGTTGCCTCTTGAAAAAGCACCCTTGGGACAGCCATGACTTGGATGACTGAGAATCTCCATAGACAGGAAGACCTAGAGCTTATGGATAAAACTTGGGGGATGAGCAAGCTTTCTAAACATCCTGAAAAGACTAGGAGGACATGGAAATGTCACTTCTGAATTGCACTTTTTCAGGCTGCAGTTTCTACCCGTTCCATCTCAGGAAGTGAATTCTGAGCAAGGTGAGATAGGGAGGGAAGAAGGAAGGGAAAGACGGGGTATCATTTGGGAGGAAAACATCTGACTTTACTGGCCATTATCAATCTCCAGAGATAATAAAAGAGGCATCTGACATCTGGGATGGCACTAAATCTATATGCAACATCAATGTTGACTGAGAAAAGACAGAGCCTGGAATGTTTACTATGATCTTCAAGCATTTCCTTGATCTCTCAGGGAGACTCACTTTCTTTGTGAGAGTCTCTGAAGGGAGGTGAGCTTTGATTGCATGAAAGCAGCCTGAACTTGAAAGAGCAACCTGCAGCAGAGTCCTGATGACCTTTCAGGAGCTTAGTATCTTAGGATCAAGATGAAACTAACCCCCAACTCGTGTGCCTCAGTTTAGAAATGGCCCCTCTAGGCCACATTAGTAGCTTTGCCCTGATTACAGTGTTGATTTTCCTGCTTGCCTCTGCAACTGTACCCTGCGGATGAGCAAGACTGCCGGGCAGATAAGACTGAAGTCAGTTCTGCACAGTTGGGTTGAAAGGTAAGCTGTCCCGACCGTGTTGTCTGTGAATTTCCTGTCATTTTGAGCAAAAACCTTCCTTGCCTCAAGCAGAGACCACAGATTGAGATAATCAGAAGTAAATATAGAAGGAACCAAACATACACACACACATACAACACATAGGCAGGCACAGGAAGTGTGAGGCTATTTATTGAAACAAAGGGAGTTATTTTTGTCAGGAGGCATGGCCACCTTGGTGGCAACACTTGCGTCAATGCTGTTCCTTTGCCTGCTTCCTCAGCAGATATTATGGGCCAGGACCCTAATTCTAACCCTAACCCTAATTCTAACACTGACTTAATATAACTGAATGTGAGCTTTAATCACTTTAGGGCATTAGCACTCTCAGGAGGAATGTGCACCATTAACCCAGCTGCAACCTTGTTATTGTCTATCATGGGAATATTGGTATAGGAGTGTTTCTATTAAATGTATAGTGAAGAGGGGTGTGGATCTCAGCCAGAAAAATAAAACTCTTCATGGTATTTCGCTTTGGGAGATAACCATAAATGAAAGAATTAGTTCTACTGTGCACTGCCCAGCTAGATCTATCCTGTGCTTGCAACCACAGAAAGAGAGGCTTAGCAATAGCAATTTTACTGAATCTAAGCTACCCTTCTTAGTTAATCAGTTAAGTCACAATAATGTGCATTCTTCCAGTTCTAGGCCCAGCGTATTTTGTGCTGCCCCAACATCAGAGCTGTAATCTTCATTAGTAAGGAGGCTCAAGGCTCACTTGTAAGTGGTCCTGTCCTTAGAGTTTTATCCTGGGACAGTTTAACGAATAGCTGGTAGAACAAACATCACTAATTGCTGTCTTTAAAGTGTGACAGAAACTTCAGCCATCCTTCAAGATGCCTAGCTAATAGTTTGCCAATGAAGAAATACTTTATTCATTTGAGCTACTTTGAATATTGGTCTTCCAAAAGACTGAAAAAGTGTGTTCAAAAATATTTTGGTGATGTAGAAAGGACACCTGAGATAAAGCAGGATGAAGGTTGTTCCCTCAGCAACAATTTTATCCTAACCTTCACCCCATCCATGTCCTCCTTTTTGTCCTCCTATCAGCCATCTGGCAGGCATAGCCTTAAAGTCAAATACTGCCTGCTTTTTGAATGTCTTGTTTGTTTTTATTTTAATTATTTTCACAACAGTAGTCATTGAAACTTTCTGATATTTTCACCTTGTAAATTGTCTGCTTCTTTTTTCTCTCTCATCCATTAAAAGACTTCATAGCCTATATTTATGTCATTTAATTTATTTCCTGATTCCAGCAATCAGCTTTAACCTTGAAATCTACAGCTACTGTTCTCTATGGATCACATGACTCATCCTATGGTTTGATAATGAAATTTGAAAAGCATGTCATTGATTCCGTAATAATAATAATAATAATGATAAAGTTGGAAGGGACCTCGGAGGTCATCTAGTCCAACCTCCTGCTGAGGCAGGAAACCCTATACCATTTCGAACAAATGGCTGTCCAGTCTCTTCTTAAAAACTTCCAGTGTTGGCGCATTCACCACTTCTGGAGGCAGGTTGTTCCACTGGTTAATTGTTCTAACTGTTAGGAAGTTTCTCCTTAGTTCTAGGTTGCTTCTCTCCTTGATTAGTTTCCACCCATTGCTTCTTGTCCTGCCTTCAGGCGCTTTGGAGAATAGCTTGACTCCCTCTTCTTTGTGGCAGCCCCTGAGATATTGGAACACTGCTATCATGTCCCCCCTCGTCCTTCTCTTTGTTAAACTAGACACAACCAATTCCAGCAATCGTTCCTTATATGTACAGTTAGCCTAAGCAGTTTTTTGCTGTAATTTTTATTGTAGATGCGAAGAAAGTTGAACAGGGTGTTTTCCTGTTTTGTCTGTTCAGGTAGCTGGAAACTTTAGTCAGTGTTTCTTAAAGTATGGTCGAAGGAGCCCTGAGGAGCTCTCATGACCATCTCAGGGGTCCACAAAAAATCAAAATTATTTGCCAGATATTGATATTTACAAACAAAATTTAAAAATGTTTGGAAGTTACAAAAAAAACAAACCTGTAACCCTGACATCATGATATAACGCAATGTCTGTAACTCTCTGCTCTGAGAGCTTAACAGAAGGAGGGCTGAATATACCATTCTTATAAAGTTCCTATTGGTTAGTTCTCTTGGTTCTCTTTTCAGGAGCAAAACAATGGTGATCTGTGGGGCCAACTCCTTATTACCTGTAGACCAGGGCTTGATCATGAAGGATTGGACAGAGCACAAAATTAGTGAAGAATTATCAGGACATGGTCAACACAAAATGGCGGACAAAATGAGGTCTATTGACAGGCATTACAGAGGTTTTTTTAATGCTTTTGAATTCCACACACAGATGTCCCGAGTGTATAGAGATCGTTTGAAAATAGGCCTTGACCTGGGTCCCCACATGAGCACTTATTATCCCTAACTCAATGAGCTCTGTCCTGCTCCTAGAAATATATATACTGTATGAGCTGAAATCTGACTTTTATAGTTCCCATGGCAACCAGAAATATTGAGCAGCCTGTCTCTGGTTAACTGTTCATTAGTCACAAGTGAAACGGTTCCAACACAAGCCTACCGTTTGGATAGTGAATGTTGTCCTTGAGCGACTGGTGATGTGCCTGATTGCCTTTTTGGTTATACCTTCGTTTTTAACTCTTAGTCTTCCTCATTAGTTTCTTCAAACAGATTTAGCCTTCGGGCCCTTCCAAATTAGGCAATGCTGAGCACGATCCCATCTGTTCAAACTTTGGTGTCCTTTATGCTAGCTGCAATATGCAACGGTTACAGGAACTGGGCATGGCTAGTCTAGTGAAGGGAAGGACCAGGGGAGACATGATAGCAGTGTCCAATATTTGAGGGGCTGTCACAGAGAGGAGGGGGTCAACCTATTTTCCAAAGCACCTGAAGGCCAGACAAGGGATAATGGATGAAAATTGATCAAGGAGAGATTCAATCTGGAAATAAGGAGAAGTTTTCTGACAGTGAGAACAATCAACCAGTGGAACAGTTTGCCTTCAGATGTTGTTGCTGTTTCATCGCTGGAGGCTTTCAAGAAGAGACTGGACTGCCATCTGTCAGAAATGGTGTGTGTAGGGACTCCTGCTTGAGCAGGGGCTTAGATTGATGACCTACAAGGTCCCTTCCAACTCTGTTATTCTAATTCTAATTCAATTCATCTCTTTTTTTCCTAATCTGGCCATTCTGTCTCAAAAATACCCATAGGGTGCTTTTGTGCCTGTTAAGCAAGCAAGTATTAAAGGTGGATGTTTTTGTGGTCTGATAGTGTGAATCCCTTGTTGAAGGAAGCTGGGGCACAATTCTAAACTATTAAGTCTTTAAAAGGGCACCTAGTGAAGCACACTCCAAACCATTGTTGAGAAATGACGCAAAAAAACCACATCAGGAGAGAGAGGGAGAGAAAAAGCACTCAATCTACCTCCCTACCCCCTCCCTTCACCCATAGCAGGTAGCAGAAAGCCACGGCAAGGACAGAAAAGGGGCGCTTGTATACATCGGATGTGGTGGAACAGACTAATGAAATCCACGCACCTTCTAGACTTCATCCCACTGATGTTGGTGGAGATGTGGGGTGAGTAATTTTACAAGGCTATGCTATCTGCACAAGTTCAGCTCTCAGCAGAGAGTAGAAATCACTTAGAAACTTTTATAAGGCCCCAATTGCTAAGCTTGAGCTCCAGCCCTTTCAATCTAACTAGACAAAGGCAAGACTGATACTCCTGTTGGGGTCAATTTTTTTTTTGAGCTATGGGCATATGAGAGGACTTTCAATACTTGGGGAGGGGGGAAAACTAAAGAAACACTGAATTCTTTCATCTGAAAAGTTTTAGACCCGTCCCATTCCTGGGAGGGTTGCATGCAGTGTTCCCATATCTTCTTGCTTCATCTGGCAAGAAATTTGGGCTGGCTGTGCGAAGGCCCAGGAATTCCAGTATTGATTCTGCAAGGCCCTTTGTCTCATAGGTTCTGCTCTGTCATCGATTCCTTCCCTCACAGTAGTGGGCTGGGGGGGGCAGCTGGATTTGGAGTTTTCACTACACCGTTCCTATCTTTGATATTCTTTTCTGTGGCAAAGTGCCTATTAAATTCCCCAGTACTTTATTTAAAGTGTTCCATTTTTAAGAAGACTACGATTAAATTTTCCATGTGTATAAAGAGTTTTAAATGGCTGGACAGTTGCTGCTGCTATCTATATTTTTCACAAACTTGGTGGGCTAGCTTGCTAATGACCTCCATTACTTTGCTACTTGTTTTAAAACGATGTTTTTCATTGCTAATATTTTATAAAATGCTGAGAACTTTCAATAACCAGCTATAGCAAAAAAAATTGGATAAACGTGAGGCACATATATTTATAGAGAGCCTTCTTCAGGGCCCCATGAATGAATGTAATGCCTCTGAGATTGCTCTGCTTTTGTGGGGTCAGTAATGGGCTAGTAACGTCAGAGTCTCAGCTTGGGCACATGTACTGTAGCTAGTCCTCACTTTGCAACCTTTCATTTAGTGATTGTTTCAAGTTACAACAGCACTGAAAAAGGCCGCCTATGACAGGTCCTCACATGGCCGTCATAACATCCCCACGGCCACATGATCAAAATTTGGACGTTTGGCAACCAGCATGTATTTACTATAGTTATAACATCCTGGGCTCATGTGATCACTGTTTGTGACCTTCCCAGCCAAGCAAAGTCAATGGGAGAAGCCAGATTTGCTTAAGGACTGTGTCAAGGACTAGCTATATTATATTTCTGAAAACTATGAACATTTTTGAAGATTTGAAAAAATAGGCTGAGATCACTCCACTTTCTAGGTGAAAGAAATCTAGGTTTCAATATAAAAGCACAAGCCAACTTAGTCAACCTAGCCAAAGAAGGAAGATTGATGTGAAAACACAAGTTAATACAGGATGTAATCTATGTGAGTGCTGCAGACCTACCCACCATATAACTGCAGCCATTAAATTGAGCTGTAATTAAATATGTATATAGTCTGGGTAGAGATTTGTTGCTGAATTTTTGCTACTTATTTGTACCAAGTGTTGATTCATTTTGAACTACATAAACCTGTCTTCCTGTTAATATATCCACCCTACCCGGTCATTAATCAAACCCTCCTTATCTGTTCACACCTTCATTATATTTTAATTAACTAGAGATCATGAATTGTGTCTGCTGAAAATTGGCAGGACTAGCAGAGAATCAGTATTTCAGCACAAGGCTGCACCAGTCACTCAAGCTACCCAGCGAATATAATTATTGTAAATAAAAAAGAAATATTACCTGCAGTACTGAAGATAGAAGGGTGATCTTAGGTTACAATTGGAAAATCAGAATAAGGAAATCAAGTCAGTTCTTTAATTAATTGCAGTGGGAGGGGGAAAGGCAAAGTAGGATGGTTTTTTTCAATTCTAATCTAAGCAAACTGATTCCACTAAATGTCCTGCAAAAAGTGGATCTATATGGCAATACACTTGCCATGGTTTACATTTAATGCTATTCCTTCCCTTCCCTTCCCTCTTTCCTATCCTATCCTATCCTATCCTATCCTATCCTATCCTCCCCTTCCCCCTTCCGCCTTTCCTTTCATGCCAATGCAGGCACAGTTCCACAACTGTGGAATACACATGTTTTCTATGTGGAATATAACTATACCTTGAAAAGATTATCTGATATACTGATCTTATCCAAAGTCACGACATAAATTGAATGAGAAAACTACTGTTACTCATAGTAATGTGTTTTTAAGGTAAAACAAATTTAACTTCTAATTCCTGTTGGACACAAGAGGACCAAATCAGGATAGTAGCTCATGTTAGAGATTGTAACATACATACATACATACATACATACATACATACATACATACATATATACACATACGTTTGTTTGTTTGTTTGTTTATCAAATTTATAGGACTGCCCATCTCACACGGTGACTCTGGGCAACATATAACAATTTAGAGCAATAAATATATAAAAAAAATCATTAAAAGCAGTTATTACTGTCAGATATTACAGATGGATACCAAAAATTCATGTTCAAACTCAGAGTTTTGTTTTCAATTCACATCACTGCCTAGTTCGTCCTACTTCGGTACAAAAATAAGAATGTTTCCATAATGTACTGTTGTTCTGGTATCCTGTAATTCTCTACAAATAAACCAATGTGTTTGGGAATACCATATGTTGATTTTTGCATATTTGCTTTATCATGAGGCTAGATATTCCTGTTCTGTTTATCAGGTAAAACCTCTTATGATTGTATTTAAAATAGATGATTACACTAAAAATGTGAAGCATTTGCCCTACTTCACTAAGGAGCCAACAGGTTCTAAAATATATGACATATTTATTTTCTTAGAGAATTTTTATGTTTATATCTAAAAGATATATATTTATCACACCATTTATCACATTCTTTGGGAACACAGTTTTATATAAATAGAAACTCAGACAGTGTGATTCTATCTTTCTAAAATTTACATTAGTTGACGATCTTTATTGCAAAAACATAAAAGCAGATTTTTTTTTTACAATATATACCACTATAATTGCGGAATGCATACCTAATTTGTAAAAATTCCTCTTATTCCCACCCATATGATATCTCTGAATACTTTTTTAAAATACCATAGAAATTATAGCACATAAAGTTTTGAAAATGGAAAGTGATTTGTTTCTTTGCTGTGCTTAATTTTGGTGATGCTTATGCAGCATCATTATTTGTATTTCTTTTTAAAATGTCTCATTTACTTTTTACATAATACTTGAGGCTATCAAAACCTGATAAATCTATAACTTAGACAAATAAAAGATACTCAAATGTATTTTTCTGAGTGCATGAATAGGCATTGTGTGGCTTAATCTGCCCAGATTTTTTAAAATCAAATTTAGATTATGAGAAAATGTACAGGAAACTCACCTTGGCCAAAAACTCTGAATTCTATAGAAAATGTAACTTTGGATAGAATTATCTATTCTATTATAAATTCTATAGAAAATGTAACTTTGGATAGAATTATCTATTCTATTATAAATTCTATATAAAATGTAACTTTGGATAGAATTATCTATTCTATTATAAATTCTATAGAAAATGTAACTTTGGATAGAATTATCTATTCTATTATATGGTTTTGAATGTAAAAACGCTCAGCAAATGCTGTCACAGCGAAAACACTAAACCCTTTCCGTGCTAGTTGGCATTCTCAATACCTCTCCTTGCCTGCCTCTTTTTTTCCATAAAATTTGAAGTGATTGCCTACAATTGGAAGGGAAGAAAAGCATTTGTGTGTTGTTTGTAGAGGAGATGCAGCATGTACCGTATGTCTATAGAAATTCTCAATCATCCTGGTCATGGTTGTCCCAAAAGTGTTTTTTCCAAAGGGCAACTGGACTATCTCATTCTTTTCTTTGAAAACGTTTCACTTCTCATCCAAGAAGCTTCTTCAGTTCTTCAGGGGGGAAAAAAACCCAAGAAAGTCCAGATGCCTTTTGGAAAAAAGCATCTTTGGGATACAGCATGAAGAACTAGTCACAAGTATTCTCTCTGTCTCTCTCCCTCCCTCCCCCTCCCCCTCTCCTCCCTCTCCCTCTCTCATTTTGAGTTTGTTTATCTTTTCTTTAGAAAAAGAGATTTCATTAAAGCTCTTTTAAGCTCCAACATTCAATCATTTTTAACTGAATGAGACTCTAGAGACTGCAGAATACAAGCACTCTGAATGCTGTGGTCTTAGCTATGCCAGCTGTAGATGAAAGGCAGTCTTGTATAGGGTCCTCAGTACTTATAAACAACAGCATATTGAACAAATTAAAAAGAAAAATGCTACAATGAGTAATGTCAGTCAAGCATGCACATACTAGCCCAGACCATAGAGCTAGGCCTCAGCAGAGGGGACAGTAATGATAAAGCAGATGCAGACAGATGATGGGGAGAAGAGCAAACGGGTGGTGGTGTCCACAGAGAACTCAGAATGGCAGCGGCAATTGCACAATTGGAGCACTGCTCCATTTCATATGAGTGATGTGCCATATGAGGAAAAAAGAAAGCTGAGTTTTGACTGTGTAGTCATGGCTGCCATGTAGATCTTTTGGGGCCGCCACTATAGATACCCCAGCAGACAGATCTAGCTCTGGGCCAGTGTGTGCATGCTTGACTGACATTATTCATTGCAGCACTTTTCCTTGTAATTTAATATAGATATAATGTAATTGATAGATGGAACAAGTGACCAAGTAAGTGTGTAGATTTTATTCTTTTCACTTTAAAGTTATAGCATCCTTTTTAAGCACCAGCAATAGCAATAGTGATGCTTTTCCCCAGGAAATATATTTAGAGTCAGAATTCAGAAACCAAAGTTATAGGCTTGCTTTAATAAATATGGAACGACACAGGTGCAGAGTTGGCAAACATTCGGTAGCTTATTTATTTCCCTATTATACCAGAAATGCAGAAACAGCTGTAAAATAGAGCATAGAATGGGAGAGAAGGGGAGAAGTCATAAAGATGCACAACTAAGGCCCCCACCAAATCAGTAAGTCCAAGATTTGAATGTACTTAGCTCTACCACTGA